GTGAGGTTTCGATTTTGGATCTGGGTCCTGTGCCAGGAGGAAGAAGTGGGCTACTTCCTGTCTGTCTTACTCAGGGTCTCCACCCACCAGCCCCCCTGGCCCAGAAACCTGCCTCTGGGCTTCAGAAGTCATTTCTCTCTCCTTTGCCGGTTCCAAAGTCTAGGGAAAACTATGTGTAAGTCAGTGTGCTTGTCAGATCTCTCCAGACAAGTTGTCACTTCCCTTGGGTCAGAACCATTGACTCAACAAGTTTTCAGGAAACATGTGTCTTGTAGGGATTATCTGCTTTTAGATTTGAGAGAGAGAGAGAGAGAGAAAGAGGAAGAAAAGTCAAGATTCGTTTTCTGGCATGAGACTTTGTTGCCCTGCTTGATTAACTAATTTTCATGGACACCATATTTGTTTCAGTGTCAACAGCTTCTTATTGACGGGTTCCTGTGGGCCAGGACCTGGCTTGAATGCTTTCTGTGAATGACTGCATTATGGCTATCCCCTTGTATAGACAAGGAAACTGAGCCTAGAGATCTGGCTTGTGGCATGGATGAGCACGGTCCAGAGTGGAGCTTGGGACCACTCCATCCATGTCCAAGCTTTCATTTTCTGGGGTTGTTCGTGGAACAGGCTGGTCTTGCCTGGGCACGGTACCCCTTCCCCAGGCCCCTTCTCCAGAGACACCATCATTTCTGTTTTCTCAGTAACTGGGAGCATCTGACGTTTTGAGCCAGAGGATGCTAAACATCCTTCCAGACACCGGATAGATCTTCCCAGTAGAGAACTGACTCACCCCAAATACTAAGTGTGCCCCTTTTGAGAAACACTAAAACCAACTCTCTGTATTGCATAGAATGGGCTTAGGTGATGTGGGCCCAAGCCAAAATCCCCTTGCTTGCCTCGCAAGCTGCCATGTGGTATGGAAGCCCAGAGGACATGACTCCAGTCCCCAGGGGAGCCAACAGAGGTCAATACCCACCTCCTGAAAAGAGGGATGTTTGGGGCAAGACTTTGGACTTTGGAAGCCCGCGAACCCCAAGATTTGAATCCCAAAGTAGGCTCTCAGCTGAATGACCTTTGTTGTTCTCCTTTGAGAAAAATAGGGATGATAGTGCCTTCCTACTGGGTTTTTCTCAAGATTACAGAAGTGCTGGGGCACCTGGGTGGCTCAGTCAGTTAAGTGTCCGACTTCGGCTCAGGTCATGATCTCACGATCTGTGAGTTCGAGCCCCGCATCAGGCTCTGTGCTGACAGCTCAGAGCCTGGAGCCTGTTTTGGATTCTGTGTCTTCCTCTCTGTCTGCCCCTCCCCTACTCATGCTCTGTCTCTCTCCTTCTCTCAAAAATAAATAAACATTAAAAAAAATAATAATAATTAAAA